CAAATGGAGCTGTTTGCCCGTTGTGAAAATTGTATATCTAGAAATACAAAACCATCTATGGATTCCTTTTCCAGTATGAACACTGTTTTCGGATGATCTCCATTGAAATTCTCCAACAGAATTTCGTCATTCTTGTCAGCATCGTATAAACATATGATGTCATCCAAATATTGAATGCAGAAGGCGGAGTTCTCTATGGGTTTTGAGATTCGTCCATTTTCCACTTTGACCACGGAAAACCCTTGGCTATATCATCTTTATGTCTATTTATTCGCTAAACCATTAAACTGAAATCGTCTATTGCGTATGCATATATAGATAACTCTCATGAGTTCATCTACTGGTAGCCCAAAGAAATTTTTCTGAGTTCTCTGAATAATTTCTAATAAACTCATTGATATATTGCAGGGGTACATTGGTATATAATAAGGCTACATCTATCGAGAACATCTGCTTATTGATCTGTCATGAATTGGGCTGAATTTCCAGTTGATGTTACACCGAAAGCAAACTCATTTGCCAACTGCTGCTCTCAAATACCGAGTAGATCGAAACTCATAGGCCAACACGGATTAAGAATAACTGAAGCGGTTATAGTTGACTCAGTGAATACATCTCTGCGTGCAAGGAAAAAGCGCTGTAGCTGCACGCATGCCGAGTTTACTTAAAAAGTTAATTTGACAATGCCCGTTGTCACGTGACGATAATGTCAGAAACCGCGACCAATTCCGTCACGCTTTGGTTGACGAAATTCCACAGACTCAATCTGCGCCCCCGCCCCCTCCTTCCTTTACAATGCCCCACCTGTGCGTTTTTTATCGGTTTGCATAGACTTGGCCATTGCCATATAGTGTCGGCGTTGGAATACTGCTGTCTGTTCTCGCATTGCAAGAGTCTGGTGGGGAAACCAGACGAGCAACGCTGAGGTTAGGCGTAGAGTTATATTTAATCGCGGTCTTCTACTGGTGCAAGTGATCGGCCTCCATAGGTTATGTTGGTTGGGGCATGTTATGCATACCACCAGATAGGTTGTCACGGCTCGTGATGTTTACGGAGGCGGGCATTAGATGGAAAAGGGCAGAAGGCGGTCAAACTGAGAAATAACTAGAAGTCTTGGCCACATAGACCCGGCTGGGCTCCCTGGATGCGGCTTTTGAGATCATTGTAACCGGAGGTTAGAGACACTGAGTGACATGGTCGTCCACGTTGGCGCGACCGTAAACTATCTTCTTTGACTGGGCTTCCAACACTCCAGGCTTTTGTCCTTTATTCAAAATTTTCAACCAAAACTAGTGCACGTAAGTACGTTTATTGGTTATAAAAAATGATAGTGAACCTGGCAATCCTAAAAGAAGTTGATCAATATGTCAGTTGGCAATGATTGATCTGTACTGTACGCCATAATGGTGAATAATTTGGGTTTGTTGATATCCCTATCATCTGCAAAACCGGTTCACAGAGAGTTTTATGTTTTTGTCCAGAGCAGAGAGAATAAAGTCGTAGGATAGATCAATGATATGTATGACAGAAGGGAACGGACGACAAAAGACAAGTGGACCCGTCTCGTCCATGTGGAGATGTGAAGTGAATCCACTGGAAGGGCTTTCAAAGAAGCTGAGGTACATCCCCTAGGGTGCAATTGATTAACCACTTTCTGAGGTACATGTCTGGTGGACAAGCTGATCTTCTTCTCTTCTTTATAAAGTGTAACTCAAAAACAGATAGGAAAGAACTGAATAAATATAGGTGATACATCCCTTAGGTACAACTAGTGTTAGAGTTTAGTGAAATTAGTTCTTTGTATACCTCTGCGGTGAAGTTCCGGTTGAGGGCTTCGATGCCCACATTAGATGCAAGGACAATGGAATAAGCAAGCCTAAGAGACTTCAGTATGTCGCGACCAATTTAAGTGATCAGACGTGACGAAGCACACATGCCATTGAATCTGTGTAACTCCGCCTTAACCATCTTCGACATTGCATTAACATTACACTTGTTTGTCTCTTTGTGGGACACTCTTTCATCCCGTGCGATTGTTACCGGGCGTGGTGATACGAAATGACCGGGACCATTTTTTAGACGACGTTCAATTGCACCTAGTGTGGTGATTGTGTATGAACATTCTTGTTTTTTTTTACATGATCGACTGCATTGTACAATTCGGCACGCAATATAATTCGACTTCGAATATTCTGGTGTTCTATTTCACACTGCGTACTAGTTCGGTTGGAGCTTAACTGCGCGGATTTATTGCGATTTGAATTCCGATACCAAGTACAGATTATCACATTGACGTCGCGGCTAGCTTTTATTTCATTATGGACACCTGCGACTTGGAAATTCTTGATATTCATTCAAATTCACGTCATGTGGAAGATTATTTGGAGTGTTTTGAGATTTGGTGTCTCACCCGCAAGAGTTTGGATGCCGAGAGGAAGACGGCACATTTTCTCTCAGCTGTTGGAAAGGAAGCTCATGCACTGATTAAAAATTTTGCACTTCCAGAGTCCCCTGCACAACTGCAGTATGAAGAACTGAAGGATCTGCTACTAAAGCATTTCCAGCCAGTCAACTTCGAGGCAGCTGAGCGAGCGAAATTCCATTGCCTTGCTCGTGATCCTAATCAGTCCGTCCGAGACTTNGCATCAGACCCAGCTCCGTGATAGACTCATTGTTCGAATTAACTGTTCTGAGCCACAGCAGCAGTTATTATTGATTCCAAACTGCACATTTCAAGCCGCAAAGGTGGTCTGTGAACAATATCAGGATGTACGTGCGGCCGTACGTGAGGAGCCGAAAGTATTGTTCAGTCACAATCGTAGTTCAGCGCTTGAAGCTCAACAGACGTGGCAGTTCAAAGGTTTCAACAAAGTCGTTAATCGTAGTCCGACGTCCACACAACCTGCAAATAATAACATCCGTCACTGGAACCCTTGCAAATCATGCGGTAGGTGACATTCTTGACTCACTTGGAAATTTCGGAATGCCAAGTGCCACAAGTGTGGTAAGTCTGGGCATATCCAGTCTGTTTGTCGAAGCACACGTAACTGTTTGACACATAACTCAGTCCCTGATTCATGCTTGTCTACCGATTTTCAGTCTCTTGCTTTATCCGTTGACAGTTCCAATCAGTCTCAACACATTAATCGTATCTTCACAGTCAATCATTGTTTTCGTCATTCATCCATCATAGACACAGGTAGTGTGAATTCGCTTATTTCAAAGACTGCTCTCCAGGGTTTGAAACCACGTGCGCATCTGAACACAACTGACACTTGGGTATAAAACTTGGTATAACTGGCCACAAACTTCCTGTTTTGGGTTCGTGTGAACTACTTCTTACTGGTGATGAACAGCACACATTCAATTGTTTCTTTCTTGTCATTGATTCCGATATTTCTATTATTGGCCTCGACTCTATGAAAAGCATGGAAATTCCTCTTTTATTTTTCACTGATCTTCAACAGTTTTGGCTTCGTCAGTTAGTTCTTAACGCTCCAACAACAAAGGTGGAATTAAAATGGCTCTAATTCACTTGGAAGTTGATGGTTCCCCAATATTTCCGAAACGTCGAATTATACCATTGGGTCTCCGTGATCCCGTGAAAAAGATTTGGACGATTTGGTTAAGAAGAGTGTATTAACACTCTTCTTCTGTTTGGGCCACCCCTATTGTGGTTTAGTTGAAACGTGATGGTAAAACACCCAGAATATGTGGGGATTACCGTATCACATTTAACAAATACTTAAAGCAAACTAGCTGCTCAACCATTGAACCCGAAGACATCCTCCATCAATTTCACGGATCAAAGTTATTTTCCAAACTAGATTTAAAGGATGCATTTCTTCAGGTACCACTTGATGAGATTTCTAGCGCATTGACCACAATTAACACACCGTTTGGTCTATTTCGTTATAACTTTTTGCCGTTTGGTCTTAGTGTTTCACCTGCTATATTTCAAAATGTTGTGAATTCTCTCATTTCTGGTTTGGATGGGGTTTCAGCTTACCAAGATGACATTATCGTGTATGCACCAACCAAAGAACTACATGATAATCGTCTGTGCTCAATGCTTGAAAGGTTCGATTCCATAANCTAGATTTAAAGGATGCATTTCTTCAGGTACCACTTAATGAGAATTCTAGCGCATTGACCACAGTCAATACAACGTTTGGTCTATTTCGTTATAACTTTGCCATTTGGTCTTAGTGTTTAACCTGCNATTCTCTCATTTCTGGTTTGGATGGGGTTTCAGCTTACCAAGATGACATTTTCGTTCATGCACCAAACAAAGAACTACACGATAAGCGTCTGTGTTTACTGCTTGANGCTCAACCATTGAACCCGAAGACATCCTCCATCAATTTCACGGATCAAAGTTATTTTCCAAACTAGATTTAAAGGATGCATTTCTTCAGGTACCACTTGATGAGATTTCTAGCGCATTGACCACAATTAACACACCGTTTGGTCTATTTCGTTATAACTTTTTGCCGTTTGGTCTTAGTGTTTCACCTGCTATATTTCAAAATGTTGTGAATTCTCTCATTTCTGGTTTGGATGGGGTTTCAGCTTACCAAGATGACATTATCGTGTATGCACCAACCAAAGAACTACATGATAATCGTCTGTGCTCAATGCTTGAAAGGTTCGATTCCATAATGTTGCTATTAATGCAAATAAGTGTATATTTTCGACATCAAAATTTTCCTGTTTGGATTTTCTGGTTGGTGAACATGGTTTCCGTCCTGATTCTACTCACTTTTCATCCATTTTCAATACACCTTCTCCCAAGTCAGTTGAAGAACTTCGTTTATCACTCGGTTCACTTCAGTATTATTCTAGATTCATTCCAGATTTTGTCACAAAAGCAGAACCATTATTCACACTTGTCTCACAGCGAACATTTCAATGGACACGTAGTCGTGAAATCACTCTTAGAGGCTTACTAAGTTTTCTTTTATACTGATGCAATTTTACATGCTTTTTCACCCAAAGCACATTCGACAGTAATTACAGACGCATCACCAGTTAGCATTGCAGCAGCATTGGAGCAGAACGGTCATCCAGTTCTACGCAATTCTGAGAAGGTAACTAGAAAGAAGAACGTCCTCCAGGTCCTTTTCATCTTTCAGGGTCACCCGGAGCAGTTTGGGTTCCCCGGCATGTGGTGACGTCGACTGGCGCATGAATCTGGTGAGGCCCACAGGTGGAACATTGATCTCAATCTGCGTGTATAAACCCTTCCAGTGCTCCAGCTCATTCTATTGCAGTTCTTGAAGTGGTTGTGTTTTTGGTTCAGATATATTTGTGCAGATAAAGTGTCAAGGCGGTATTGCTCCTACATTTTTCCCCACTATTGAAGGCCTCGATGTGGACATAAAAGGTTTCTTTTGAAGGAGAACCTTATTCTGTTCAGGAAATTTTACCATATCATTCGTTACACTGGAAACCACGCTTATGTCAGCAGGGATTATACACTGCATTGGAGCGATGCTGATTAAGGAACACTTGATCGGATCAGGTTTTGACGGTTAGCCGAACAAGGCAATACAACCACACGGAACGCTCAACCGAGGCATGGTGACAACAGACGTTCTATCGAGGTGAGATTGGTAGTGAATACACTAGCCGCCTCTAGAAAACTTAGTAAACTCACATTATTTCTTGATACCTAATTGGTAATACTGCCCCAGGTTACAGGCGAGTAAAAGGGATCTGCTTTTTATTTGCATTCGAAGTGGTCATCGAACGATGGACTGCAGATGCCAGGTCAAAAGCAGTTTTGGAGGATCTAATGGCCACCAACATACACTGTAGCATTTATCCAGTTCCAAAAAATGTCCCAAATCATGATTTTATAGGGGAGGGGGGCTGATATATGCGAATTAGGCTCGGGAAGTAGGCTAGGAGTTATACACACGTAACGCTGTAAGTCCTAGGTACGGCAAGGGAAGAGAGCGGTCAAACCTACTGTTGTATGTCAAAGATCAGCTTTCGTACGATTTCGCGGGTACTTTGGCAGGCAGTATTGTGTTGTGCATGATAGAAAATCCACTGTCATTCTCTTTACCGTTGGTTCTAATGCGTAAATCTCATACATCTTGTCTGTCGTCATATTTCTAACTTTATACTGATATCTATCTGTTCCATATTTGTGGCGTGTTTCGATGCCAAATTTGCACATATGCATTTTTACCTAATCAACGGTCTCACTTGACATTCATCTGTGGGTTTTTAATCGTTTATGAACTTTTCTCCGTCTCTCGTTCGGGCTCCTCTCGCACTACCGCTTGTTGCCTGTTCCAACCAGGTCGAAAATGCTGTACCCAGCTTTTCAGTTTCACGCTCAATTTGTTCCGTGCACGGCGAAATTCACCATATTCTACCAAACAATATATTTCGTTTAGTTTTCAGCTTCTGATGCGAAAATATATTTCCCATTGAGTGATCACGTGAATACAGTGTTAGCAAACAAGCTCAGTTTGTAATTGTTTGTTGTGTACTCTAACTACTGATCTAATACTATACCCAGACGCTGACTCTAGCCCCAAATTAGAACCTTAAAACTTAAATACTTGACGTTAAACCATAAGAAACACTCAACCGTGTCGTATTTTTCCTATTGAGTTCATAAATGGGGGTTCCTATTGCCATTTCAGCTTACGTAACATTAAATAATTTCGTACATAAAGTTTTGCTACTCATGAGTAATCAACCATACGTTGAATAGGCATAATGGGGTGACCATGTATCCAGGCCCTAAAATCACAGAACACGCACAATCTATCCAGGCGATGACTATGCGGAAATGATCAAACCAAGACACGTTTACAAAGGCTTCTACGTCATTTTTAATTCACAATGCCTTGGTTGTTCAATCTTCTCTAAGTCTGTATCATCTCTCGACTTTGAGAAACGGCGCTAACTTGCCCTACGCGATTTGTTTCCACGTTGGTCTAATTCACCTATTTTCGTTTATATGATGACGACAGTTGTTTGATCTCCTATCTCTACAACAATTTAACAACCCCAACACCACCACTGCATTTCACGTTTGAGTTTATTCACCTTAGCAGCAATGTCAAACTATGCCTTTTTTCGTCGCTCCCCTGTGCCCTCGAGGCAATTCGTGTACTCCGTCGTCTTTTTGGCAAGAGAGAAGCAACTCGGATAGCAGTTCGTTTAAATGTACCGCGAATTGCTCTCAGCCTTTCAAGCCTGAAATTTGTCGATTGCAAATGGCTACACAATCTTTCTGGCCTGGACATGTGACAAAACGAAGCTCACATACAGTTTCGCCTCTTTGCTCACGGCAGAACAATGCGCGGACCAAGAGGCTGTGGTGTGTAGTAGATTTGCGTACCCTCGCACAGACCAATCGGAACGCCAGTTCAACCAACTCATCGCATGAAAATTTTGAATTATAGGGAGTTCGGATGGTGTGTAATGTTTGAGAGGCTGAAGCTACCTATTCATAGTTGATGTGAAGCACCGATTCTCAAGCTCCATAATTTGCAGCGGTGTTGCCCCACTCCGGCCTGCTTGCACACTAATCACCGATATTTCAATTGTTTCTAAATGTTCCGATCCTTCCATCATACAACCACAACTCCATCTTATCGTACTGCAATTCATTTCACAATAAACGTCTGCAATTGCA